GACTGGGACATGCCAATGCTGTCTTAAATGATACTATTAAAGCTAAAACGTCCCCAAGTCAAGTTCCTGTAGAATCTTCTCTTGGTTAGCGTTTTGGCTCCATGAGTTTTTAACGCAACCCGAAAGTCTTCCACCTGCTTTCGCGTGGGAAGCTGCACATCCTGTCCTGTGAGTTTATGTACCTGTCGGCCCTGTGATTTCACAGCTCTCTAGTGAGCAATGCATCAAGCTCGTCCGTCTCCTTATTTGCCAGATGTAAGTCGCGATGCTGCCTCGTGTTGGTTTTCCCTCTGATACGAGGGATTGCCTATCCTCAACTCTCCCCTCCACGGAAGATTTCTGGCTGGTAAAGTAAAAAAAGCACACTTTCAAAAATTCACAGAACTGTCACACTGCTTCGTCACAGCCACCGAACACCTGTCTGCCTGTCTGTTAACTCTCCATCACGGAATAACAGTTCCATATATCCAGTTCTTCCCTGAATTATTTTCCCCCTGGAATAATGCTTCTTTGCAAGGGCTGAAGGCATAGGGCATATGAGTCTTAGGTGCACTTGTGTGCACTGATTTCTATGATAATAAATCGAAATTCTGGCACAGGCTTCATCTCAGAAATCTCTTGAATTATGGGGAACATACTTCTCCAAAAACGCATGGCACATAAAACCTAATTTACTTAAATGTCATCCACACAGCAAAAATATGTTTTGGTCTAATTAGAGTTCCTTTGAAGGGTAGTAGTGCCTGCTAATTTGGCTGTATTGTTTGGCTGTGGGTCATTAAATGTAACAGAATTTGGGAAGAAGAACTAACCAGGTTCCAAGCAGGAGAGGCTGGCATTGCCCCGTCTCAGAGTTCTCACTGCATCAAGGGTGAGTGCTCACTGCCTGACTGTGCAGGTGCAGGGGGCTGAGGATGGACTGAGACCCAAACAAAGGCCGAGACCTGGGGGGACAGGTGCAGGGGAAAGGCCTGGCTAAAAGCACCGGTTTGATGGTGTGTGTGTGCGTGTGTGCCGTGTGCACGTGCATACGTGGGGGGTGGTTTGCATGCATGCCTGCATAGTGTGTGGTGTGCATGTGCTTGTGAGGGAGTTGTGTGTGTGTTGCGTGCATGTGTGTGTGGGGTGGTGGTGGTGTGTGTATGTAGTGTGTGGTGTGCACCTGCATGTGGGGGGAGGTGTGCTTCAGTGCGTGTGTGATATGTTGTGTGGAATATATGTGTGTGAGTGCGAGGCATGCATGTGGGGGGTGTGTGTATCCAAATGTCTTAGTTGCTGCAAATTATCACCAGCTGGTGCGATGGAACCAAGCACTGGGCCTCACAAAATGAGGAATTCCAGTGGGTAAAACAGCCCACGTGAGGCCAGCAGAAGGCGCCCCCCGAGCCCTCAGCCCGGCGGCCCTGCAGAGCAGCGGTGTGCTGAATAGAGGGGACGCGGGGCGGGTGACGGCGTGGCCGCCATCCCTGTCTCTCTCTCGCCACGAGGGACGTGGGTTTTCTTACCTTCCGCCCAGTGGGCCCACCAGGGGGCACCCTGCTGTCTGAGGGGGTTGTAGGGGACAGGGTAAGGGGACAGCTGTCCCGCTGTTCCGTCTGTTACTGGGAGCGTCGGCTCGCTGTGGGGGAGGTGAGTGCGCTGAGAGGTAGAACGTCCCACACGGTGTGCAGCGACCCGACCCTTCAACAGAGCCGTCGCTGCAGCATCAGACCCCGGGGATCAACAAGACGTGCTGCACGGGAGCGCGCTGCCGGGTCCGCCGCTCCCGGGCGCGCCGTCAGGCAAGTCACCGCGCCTCCTCGTTAGCCAGATGCGGGCTGGACTAGCACTGTTCACAGCTGCTTTAGTGGTTCTGTAAATGTGGGCTTGATTTTTATTACACATTCATGCAACAAGCAATAATTAAGTGCTTATCGTGTGACAGGAGCTGCCCATATGCTGCGGCCACAGAATAAAAGAAGGCAGGAAATTTCTCAGGAAAGGAGCAGTTCGATGGAAGAACCCAGAACAACAAGGGACTATGAGACCGGGGGGGTGGGGGGGGAGGTTATAGCTCAGCGTTGGAGCGTAGCGTTAGGGTTCAGTCCCCAGTGCCTCTGTAGCAAAAATAAATAAAATTTAAAATAAATAAATAAGCCTAATTCCCCCCATAAACCCAAATAAAAAAAAAAAAAGAACCAGGGTAGAAACCGCAGTGCAGCTCTGCCGCAGAGGGGCCCTCGGGAGCCTGGACCACGATCGTCCCACGTCCCTCCTGCCTCCGCACACGTGGCTGAAAAGCGTCCACACTTCCCGGTCCCGGGTTTAGGTGTCAGGATGCGGAGGGAAGTGACAATCGCTATTTAAAACATCAGCAGGCTGAGACCCCGCGGGGCATATTTCACAGCGAGTAGGTTGCCTGCCCGCCTTGGAAATTCCCAAATACAGGTCAGCAGCCCCGTCAATTCTGTCCTGTCAAGAAAAGCCTATTTGACCTGAAACCTGAGGCTAATTCATACACTTGGGATTGAGAAAATATCTTTATACGTGCTCAGACTAATTCCTCAGTAAGACAACGTCACTGCCAGTGTTTCCAGAGGGTGAAATTAAGAGCAGGAACCCAGTTCTCGGTCCTAATCGTGATGGTTGGTCAGACTCCAGGGCTTCGTTACCACAGGGCTGGCTCCGGGCTGGGCAGTTAAAGAGGAATACTTGGAGAAATGTGTCCCCATAGGTCCACGTGATGCCAGCGCTCTCTTCACCCTCCCCCACCATGAGAGGGAACACCTCTCCTGAAGACTGTGCAGTAGGAGGACCCAGGTCTCACCAGGCATTGAGTGTCCCCTTCTGTCACTAAGGGACGTGTGCCCGAGCTCCCCAGGGACACCAGGAGAACCAAATTCTGGGACCTGTTCCTTAGACGCTCACAGCTGCTTTCATGGACCAGCATCGGAGGGGCTCTGGGGAGGAATGCTGAAGCAGTGACTTCATAATGGACTAAATCCAGAGTGGAGAGCCCCTGCCCTCCGATGCCGCATTGAGTTCCACCGTTGGCACCCTCACGCCGTACTGCATGCCACTTCTTAGTGCGGGCTTTGAACTGGTTCTGCTTCCAGCACTCATCTGGAGGCCCCCCCCCGACCCCAGCCCTGGCCCCCAACGTCTGCTGGCCACTGGATGAGCTCAGACAGCAGGACATTAGGACAGATTAGGACACTGCCCTGTGGAAGCTCAAATCCCCAGTGCAGGGTGTGTTTTGTTCAGGGAATGCATCACTCTGTGATGCTCCACTGGTAGAACTTTACACCTGTGCCTGTTCTGCAGGGAAGGGAGGGGGCATTGCTACACCGCAGCCCTGGAGTCAACGCATGTGAAATAAAAGGAGCAGGCGAGCCAGATGGGTTTGGCCATGGCTGGAGGAGAACGGATGCGCTCGGGGAAGGTGTCTGCTTCTGTATCAGTCTCGTGTTTGTTCAGCGGCCAGGAAGCACCTGATGTTTTTATGTTGTTGGTAATTTACACCTTTGTGCATGTCAGAGTTTCCCGAAAGAACAACCAGAGAAGACAGGAGGTGAGAGAAATGAAGACAAAGGGACAGGAAAAATGGAATGATCCCCAGAGCCTACAGCACCAGAACAAAAGAATGTCCAGGAACAAAAGGACCCTTGTTGAGATGGAGATGGGGGAATTGCTTTACAGTAGAAGTTTCTCTCTTCCTGCACAGCCCTGACTACAGAGCTCCTGGTTCTGTCTGTGTGGGTGCACACATGCCCATGCAACACATACACCTATCCATGCAATACCACACACACACACCTGTGCGACATCAAACACACATGCCCATGCATCACACACATACATGCTTGTGCAACACCACACACACACGCACAGCAAAACAACATGCCAGGATAACCCCATCTAGTTGTCTGCAGCATTCCCAGATTTTAAAGGAGGGTGCTTAATCTAGAAGCTCACTAATGATGATTAGCATAATCAAGCTCTCTTTACGCACAGAGAGCCTTAAAAAAGATAATAAAACAGCGCCTATTTCTTAATTGGAGAAGATAGTGCTGTGAGGGCAAAAAACAAAAACAAAAACAAAAACAAAACATCCTTTGCCTATGATGGCCGGTTTTGTGGGGCAGGAGGAAGGCTGTATTAACTGTGAAAGTTTCTTGAGACCTTGGAAGTAGGGGGGTTCAAGTCAAGTTCTAGCTCCTGGAATGTGGGTGACGTCTGTTTCCTCATGTCTCCCAAGACAGAGGGGTGAGCATTCTTGATGTTTACCTGAGGAGATTAAACACCAGTGCTGGGGGTCACACAGCCGTGCGAGGGAGCAGCTGTCGCCTGGCCGGAGGAGCTGATGTGGGACTGGACTGGAGCGGGACTCAGGTGGAGACCACCCGTTGTGCAGTTTCCGTAACCGCTTTGCTCCCAAAGACGCACTGAGGTCCTCTGCTCCTGCCTTCGTCCCACACCAGGGAAGTTTAATGCCTGTCCTGATGCAGGTTTGTTTGCTGTCTTTCATAGGTTTAGCTATTTGGATTAACAAGGGAAAAAAATGGTACAAATAGCTTTTTGCTTCTTTCAAAATCTAAGAAGCTGAATAACATTCTTGAAGAGTTAAAATGTTCCAGTGCATTCACAGCAGAAAATGTGGAGCTTTGCCATTTGCTGGAAATGAGATCATGCAGACTATTAAGGTGTGTTTCCCAAATAACCAGTCACTTCACGACACACAGCTTCCAGTGACCTCCTGCAGAACAAGACTACCCTTAGCGCTGCTGTGAGCTTTATTTAGGGGACGAGAGTAGTTGTTCTGGCTATCATTAGATATGATTATCACATTTATTCTGGTATTTTTGTTACTTTATTGAAATACCAAAAAATTCTCCAGAAATATTCACAGCAGAGTAATGACATCTCTGATATATGTCTACCCACCAGCCGACAAATATTTGCTGAGAGTTTATTATGAGATGAACAGGACGGGGAGGTTTAAAGGCTTCTGGGGTGGGTAACATACGCGACTTAGCTTTTTAGGCAGAATGGATTTACTATAGGAATTAGATGCTTGTAGAAGGGTTGAACTGGTGAAAGCATAGGGCTCCAGACCAAGCCTCCAGCATCTGCCACTAGAACATATCCCAGAGCTGCTGGGAAAGTTCCCCGAACAGCCCCCGAGCAGGGATGTGTGTGCCTTGGTCATCTGAGCGCAACGGGACGTTGGTGTCTGGGTTTGCCCCACTGCTGTGGATTTGAGGGTTTGCTACCCACGCAACCTAGAGCGACTCCGGGAAATCACAGGGCAACCACTGAGTGTAAAAGTAAGCCTGCTCTTTGGCCTGATGTTGAAACCTAGGCCAGAATAAAGGTTTTCTCTTCTCATGCGTGGGTACATACCATTTTATTAATAAGTGCAATTATTTTAATAAACAATATTTCCTCTACAAAGAAATCTGAAGCTTAGTTTAAAGGCAAAGATAGCTGATTAACGAAGATAGTATCTCCCAGCACAAGCATATTATTAAATTATTAATAAGTTTATGATGGTGTTTTGTGGTGAGTCATGTTGTTGAAATTACAGTATGTCTGGTGCCTTCTCTGTTTCAGCTTCTTGAGCACCTCTGCTGGGTGGTTCCAGTTCTGTTTTGTTGTTGCAGATTGTTCTTTATAGTTCTTAATTAGCTTTAAATTGGAAAAAGAACATTTTGGTGTTCTGTGATTAAAGCTGTCAAAATAATATTAATGAAGAATATACTTCATTTGCACTCACATAGAAATTTATGATTTCACTCATCTAATCTGTAAATAGTTGTTTTTCCCCCTCTGTCACTCTCTAATTACTTTGCACAAAGTTTTACTCACACTGATAGTGATTATGACAGGTCACTGGCAAGTTTATTTGGCATCTTTACTGCATGTTTTGCAATGGACCTTCCTTCCAATTATATTAATTTATTTGGGGTAATAAGAATGTATCAGCACCTCTACCATCTCCTACCAACTCTGCGTTAGCCGGGAGGTTATTATGTCATGTAAATTATGAAAAATAACACCTAATAATGTCTTTACTGAGCAGTTACTGCTAAAGATCAGGGCACACTTTTGATGAAGGGGAACCTGGGTCAGGAGATAAAAAATTCTTCTTCCTGTCTTGTGAGGCCGTCCCGCAAGGTCAGCAGCCGGTTATCCTTGGTGTCAGGACGTGTCAGCCTGGGAATGTGCCCCGTGTTTTCTCTCCTTCCTTCTCTGCCTCACTCGGCCTTGCTGTCACTCCCACTCCCCCATAATTTCCTTGCACAACGTATCAGTAGCATATAAACTGTGTGCTTCCTGGGAAAACGGGCTGAAAGCTGGATCAGGATTGGTCCCAGGAAGGAGAGCGTCAGAATGGGATTCCAAAGCTGGGTTATGCAATGGTGAATTTGATGGCTGGGACGTGGGGTGCCCAGATTTTGGTCAAACATTGTTCTAAGTGTGTCTGTGAGGGAGGGTGTTTTTGGATGAGGTTAACGTTTGAAAGGGTGGGCTGTGTAAAGCAGATTGCCCTCCCCAATATGGGTGGGCCTCTTCCAATCCATTGAATAAAAATCTATTTGTGTAAAACAAAAAGGCCCACTATCCTTCGAGGGAGCTCCTCCTGAACGGCCTTCTAGCTGGGACATCAGTGTTACCTGCCTTCAGACTAGAGACGAGATGTTGGCCCTTTCTGAACAGCACCCCTGCTGACATCTGGGCTGGGACCATCCCATCAGCTACCCTGTCTCCAGCTCACTGACTGCAGATCTGGGGACCGGGCAGAGTCCACAAACATATAAACATAAATATATACAGAACTTTAAGAATAAATGTTCTAAGTTGATTCTGGGGTTTCTGGAATTGAGCATCTAATCCGATTAGACTTGTAGACACTAGTGGCTGTTTCTATAGCATGATCTGGCAACAGAGACACACAAAATACCACTCATCAAACCTGTGCTGCATGGTCCTCAGAATAACAGTGTGGAATGAGACTCCTTCGCTGATGCGTGTGATGCAAAGATGAGGTGACTGAAGAGGGGGTGAACAGGCAGGATGAAGGAAATACAGCTGGAAAAGCTGTGGAAGATTCAGGAGGTGGTGGTGATGACAAAGTCTAAGACATGCCCAGTGTAACACGATCCAGCTAGTTTAATTTCAAATACTGTTTCCAAGTTTGAAGAAAAAGAGAAAACATTCAAAAGAACTTCAGCAAATTTCATCCAGAAAACCATCAAGTCACAGACTAAGAGAATCTTCGAGAAAAGCTGCCCTTGTGACTATCATGAGAAAATACGTCGCTAGCCTGAAAGCCCTGAGGGGAAAATGAAGTTCAACAAAAGTGCAAAATAAGACAAAAATAAGTACATCTTTGATGCCAATTTGTTTTAAAGTTAAAAATAATATAATCCTGGAAAAATGACCTAATCACACATGTGTAAGAAGTGAGGATCTTACTGAACATGTGTGTGATCCTTTTGAAGTTTTAACCAAAATAACAAGTATGAACAAAAAGTTCTGCTCACTTCCTGTCCTCACCTGGGGCTCTTCGGGACCCTGCTGGGTTCACACAGCTCACACCCCAACCTGGCAAGCTGGCGGGCGGGTGGGAGGAGAACCAGCCACTGCTCACACAGCCCCGGGGGCGTCGCCTCTCCAGAACTGTATCCATCTAGCTCTCATCGATTCCGTAACCATCTGAAGTCCTTAAAATTAGATGATTTCTGTAAATTATCTGTTTTTCCCATAAAGTTTGCAAAGGAGAGCTTGCCATGTGCAGCCCACTCTTCCCCCAGCCGTGGACCCTCAACTGACACTTCCCCTCAAGCTTTAGTGAGAGCAGGTCTCTGAACGCTGAGTTGTGAAATAACTCTGGGTCCTATTTGCCTAGTTCTGAAACTTTCCCTCTAAATTTAATTAGCAGGTGAAGGGCACCTGCTAATAATCTTTTTCTACATTACCAAAATTACCAACTAGGATTAGCCTCCTAGAGTCTTCTTTTTCCTCTCTCTCCTGTTTTCTGCTGCTTCCATGTAAGTTTGGGCTTTTTATCATGGAAAACATATATGAAATAACCTCCTAACAATCCTTCCAGCAGTTAACTTACGCCCCTTGTCTCCATGAGTTTTCAAACACAGCCTTATCTTTAGTTCCACTAAAGAAACAAAGATTCATTAGGAGTGAAGAAGGATTTTTAGTTGCAAGAAAAGATGGGAGCAAGGAGAGACAGAAGACTCTTCAAAACTGCAGAGATTTGTTGAATATATAATATTATGTTTATAAATTAATATTTATTTAGTATATACAAGTATGTGGCGGTGCATATATATTTATGTGGCATATACATAAGTACACACATACATATGCATAATCATACACACATACCTGGAATTTACTTTCATATGCAAAAGAGGTCTGGGTTTATACATTATTAATTATGTAACCTGCTTTTCCCACTCAATACATTGTGTTCCCACATCATTACATGTTTTTCCATAACCTGATTTTAATGGCCATGAAATACTTTATTGTATTGAATTTGCCATAATTTATTAAACCTGCCTCCATTAATTGGACATTTGGTCTATGTCTAATCTTTACTTTTTAAGGAAGGGTAAAAACTGATGGCCTATACAGAGATCTTTATCCATCCAGAAATTCTGCTCTTAGAGAACATAGTATAATTTTCAAATTTTACTGCCCAAGTGAATTATAGTGGAGTGTATTTCACATCTCACTCATAATTTTTTAAGCAGATTATTTGAAAAATGAATAATTCTTTTGGCTAACACATGAGTGGCAGGCCCTGTGAGGTCTGGTTCCCCTGGAACACAGAGCTGAGTGGTTCAGAACAACGGGCCACCCCGCCGTGAGGCAGCAGCCTCTGTGTTCCCCTGGGAGGAAGTGATACTTGCAGATGAAAAGTTTATTGCTATTCTTTGAGCATTTAACTTACTTAGCATTTACAAAAGCACATGCGCTATGAAAACATTTCTAAACATAAATTATTTTACCTCATTTTTGCGAAACTCTATTATCCCCAGTGGAAACAGTTTCCGGTGAACTTACCCTCCTGGCTGAACATCGTATGGAAGTTCTGCTGAGTGAGATGCTGAAACGGTTACTTCTGAAATTTGGTGCCGCCCTCGTGTCTGCATGAAGGTCAGCGTTTTTGTTATTGTGGAGGTTTGATCCCCTAACCCTTCATCAGACTGACTGGCGGAGCTAAAACAACTCTAAAGGAGCTCAGAATGGAAGCAAGTCAACAGTGCAGAGACCCTGGTCTGACTTCTCACCTCCTAAACACAGAGCCTGAGGCAGGACTCTGGACTCAGTAACTGGAGGAGGGAGTGAGGAAGAGAGAAGCCAGTGAGAAAGTGCTCTCAGCTAGAGACCAGCCTCCCGCTCATCCTGCAGCCGCGCTGCAGGAGTGGTTCAGCCTTGAGTCAAGGTCAGTCCCTGGCAGGTGGCTTCTTTAGGAATGAGGGAGGGGACAGTAAGGTCACCAGAGAGGTGGCGCTGATTCAGCAGAACAGTGAGAGCAGTGGCAACCCTGAGAGTCTGATGTAAGGAGGTATCCTCTAAGGTGTCTTTGTCAACAGGCTGGTAATTACTTAAACTGATTTCCCTCATAGTCTGACTATCCACTGACATACAGACTTAAAAAAATGCACAAAGTGTGCATCTCATAGAAGGGCTAAAGGTAGCTGCGGAAACAAGGAATTCCAGTCCCCCCACATTTGCATTTGTTAATTGTCATGGAAGAGTCTTTTGTGTGTCAGCAAGAACTTATTTTCTTTCTGCCACCAGCTCCTGCTGCTTTTAAGATGTCAATGTTTCCCTTTCTGCTCCTTTTCAGTTCTGTAGCCTGTCCCCACCTCATCCCCACCCTCTCACTGCTTCAGTGAAAAAGGTTACCTAGGATTTTTTAAAAATGATGTTGTAGTAAAGTTTCTTAATGAAGCAAGCACTCGAACAGAAATAGACTTAATGCCTTGAGGCTTTGAGCCAAGAAGAAATGGTGAGATGTATTTCCATGGCTGGATGGTTTCTTTTTTCTTTTTTATAAAGTCAGATGTGCCAGTAGGAAATTTAAAGTGTTCCTCTTGATGTAAAAGCCTAGAGCATAAGAAGCTATTCTTACTTTTTATGCAAGCCGTTTCTTTTTCTGAGAAGTCCATAAAATCGGGCTGATAATTCACTAAATGCTCTGTTTAAATTGAAATCTTCTTCTGCTTTAGAGAACATTATGTCCTGGGGACTAGCCTTACTTTCTCTGAGTTAAATAGCGACCCCTCCTTTATCTCTGGTATTTGTTAAGTAACAGAAATTCAACTGAGTCAATTTTAAAGATCTAATTGGCTTCATTGAACAATTCATGGTAACTCAGGCGGCATCTCAGGCAGCAGACGGAGAGGAGCTCAAGGAGCTGCAGGAAGTGGGGGCTTGTGCAGGCAGGAGGGGAGGGAGAGGAGGGAGGGGTCACCCCTTCTGGGGAATGGGGAGGACCAGCTCATTGGAGCTGACCAGTTAAGACTACATTCTGGGGGGTGGCTGAAGCTGCAGTTAGGTTAGGTACTGAGTTTCAGTTGTGATGTGGGCTTAGCACAAGTGATTCCATTTTGGGCCTGTTGTCTGTTTCTTAACATATTTTTTTGACAGCGCTAAAGTCAGGTGTCTTCAATGTCCAATAAGATACCTGAGAGTTTGACTTTTCCTCTGTGGAGGTGAGAAACAGCTCACTGATTGGGGTGCAGGTGAGAACACAGCAGTTGGGAGGGAAGAGGGGCTGACTCAGTGAGAGCAAGGACGTTGGATGCAGTCACGTTACCTGTGTAAACAGAGCCAGGAACCCGTCTCTGTTGCCCGCACTGAAAGGTGACATTTTTCCATTTCTGTGTCTTCAAAAACATCAAGAGGTTCGATTTTTCAAAGGAAACCTGAAATAAAGTACCTAAAATCTATGACCATAGTTCATGGATATAACTTGGTCTCTGAAATGAAGACGTTCTCTAAAAACGATGTAGAAAACACATCTAGAAAATGACATGTTACATAGATAGAGATAAGATTCCAGAAGCAAAGAACAGCAAGCAGATTAGGAGACGATGCTTATGACACCTGCAGGGAATGTTAACAGCTGCCTCGATATCGGGCTTTTGTCATAGCTCAGCACATCTACTCTTACTTGCTTTTTCGTTCTACATCTGAGCACAACTTTAAGGGAAGTTAGAAAGCAAACTTTTTTCACTGCGCTCCATTCACCGTCCTCTGTGCACGACAAGGTAGGGCTAAGACCGTCGCCTCTGTTTCTTCCCGAAGAAGGAATGAGTGTTTTTCCCTTTATCCTTGGAGCTTGTAAACTGAGTCAGCCATGTGCTTTACAGAATGAGACATGAGACAATGTTTAAAATGTGAGCGTTTTCTCCTCAGTCACATGGTGTTAGCTCAGAAATAGGGCTGTCCGCGGTGGGGTTCTGAAACCGACTCGTAACTGCAATTGCCTGTGTGTTCCCCACGCAGCTCTGTGTGCAGAGACTTGAGTTAGCAGCTCGAGACAGGCTGTGGTGGAAGCACTTCTGTTATGGAGAGTAGGTTCTTGTCTCCTTGCGGAAAGAATTCAGAGATCAGACACAAAGATCAAGAAGGCAAAGCAAGGGTTTATGAAGCAACAATGTGCTCTCAGGAGGAGCGCGGGCAGACTCAAGTGAGCAGCTGCCCTGAGTTTCTTTGGCAAGCTGGTTACACGGGGTGTGAAAATGAATGGGTGAAATATTCACTGGGTGGGGGAGAGGTTTTGAGTCGTATTTCCTGATTTCCATCCCAGCTCCGCCTTCCTGAGGGGAGGAGGAATTTTTTTCCTTATTTAGCCTTGATCAGAAGTGTCATGGCCTCAGTGTGTGATGGGTACTTCTCATCTGCAAGGCTAATTATATTGTAATGAGCACATAATGAGCAAAAGGTTACATTTGGACACTGGAGATTCCCACCTTTTCTCACCTTTACTTGCCTCTCGGATAGTTGTCACCACAAAATGTGTGGTTTCCTGTCAGTCCAGAAGTTCCTGTTTTTCTTTCTCTGCCCGAGGACCTGCATTGTTTTTAGCTCACAAGATGTGTGGTCTCCTGCCACTCGGCCGATGCCCCCCTGTCTCTGCTCATATCTAGTTATCTGCTTGTTCTAACATCTGTACTGCAGACATTGACAAATGCTACAAATCGGAGGCTCCCTCCCCCCAGAGGTTTACCAGCACACAACTGGCTGCCACCAGCTCCTGCCTTTAACTCTCTCTCTCCACTCAGGTGGAAATAGCCTACTGTATACAAATGGGTGTCTATAAACCACAATCATTCTTTCTGTAAAATTCTCTCATTTCCTTTATCAGAAGCATTATTTCTTGATTTCTTTTTTTTGCCCTTCCTAATCTTAGTCAGTTGGCTGCCTTTTCTTTTGGTTTCCTTTAACCTTCAATAGTCTTGCTTTTTCAGACTTTAGCCACTTGTTTCCATTTAAGGGAAAGTAAAAAACAAGGGTTTCACACAAGTGGGAAACCAAGATGGCATTCTCAGAAGCTGAGACGGCAGCTGTCTTAACAGATTTGAAACAATTCTCCATCATTCTTAGATATTTCTATTCCAGTTGCGGGAACGGTGGCTGTTTTGTATACACATACAATTTATATGTGCAGAGAGAGAGAGAGATTCATTCAATTGTGGGGGCTAACAAATTCAAAATCTAGACAATACCTTCACAGGAACTTCTAGACTGGTGCCTAGCCGGATATCAGGGTACCACGGCCAAGCTGACACTTGTAATTAACCATCACAAAAGCTACTGTTAGACTTTAAAGAAATATGCTTTGCATTTTAAAATGAGTTCATTCCTTTCTTAAATACATGGAAAGCAATCTTATTGTTATAGGAAAGGAATGATAAACTGTTTGCCTTTAAAAGAAATTGCTTTGGGATCCAGAGCCTTCCAGTTGTGGTCTTTTCTGACTTACTGTGGACTTTGCACGGAACACTTAACGTTCTGTGCCTGAGTTTGCTGATGACCCAAGGGGGCCTCAAGAATGTGGTCTGAGAAAAAATACTCCTCAGGGTTAATGGGGTCCCCTGGGTCTCCCCACACTCCTTGGAGGAAAGGGCTGCAGGAGTTCAAATGATTGTTATGAGAGATTTAACACTTCCACTAAGATAGGAACGGATATTTCTGAACTTCTCCTTGGCACATTCAAGGTAGAAGCATCTCTGAGCTACCCGAAGCACTGTATTGCGAATAATCACTGGAGTTTTCCTTCAGCCACTGAAACACTCCTACAATTACTATCATTTCTTTTTCTGGTGAAGAGTCAAGTCACATACTGAAAAACATACACAGGACAAGATTTTCAATTAAGAAATAATTAGCTTGACAAACGTTACCACTAAATGTCTCCGTTTGTTTCTGATCCAAAAAAAAAAAAAAGTATTTTTTTTCAGATGTGGGAGAATGGTTGGAGTAAAATGTTGAATCTTAAAATTTTATAGGTCTATGTAACTGGCCATAAGGAAATATACTGTTTAAAGCTTATCATCATGGTTAGTCTACCTGGTAACATTACTCAGTTTATTATGTGCAGAATCAGATGTTGCTCCGTACTAGGACAACTGGCTGTAAGCTTATCGGAATAATTCTATAAAAACAGATGCGCATTTTCTTTTCAAATTTTCCCAGGTAACTAGGGAGGTGGGGGAACTTGCATTTAGAGCCCATATTTTCAATGTGATTACTCTAACTTCTTGTGTAGACATAACTTAGTTTCTTCTTATGATTAACATATATAGATGTAGACTTTTATTCTTCCATGATGAGAGATTTAAAATCTCATTCTTAAACAAGTTTTTTTTAAAACATTTTTTATTGATTTAAATCATTTTACAATGTTGTGTCAACTTAAACAAGTTCTTACAAGGAGCTCATATTTATCTGAAAGCCACTTCTATTTTGATCTATGGTGAAGACTGTGGGCAATTAATTTCTCACTGACATTAAGTACCGGCATTAACTTGGTCTTAACTACACTTCATTATGTGTGGCCCTTGAGAGATTCAATGATCAGTTCTTAAAATGAGATCCTGAGATTTAGAAAAACGCCCTTCCGTGCTTACGAACACTAAGGAATGTGTGAAGCCACCTCATTGATAAAATGCTGAGCACCTTTGATGATTTTGTCTACTCCAGGCTCACAGAACTGATGACAAGATGATTGTTTCCAGTCTTGGCAGCCAAATTCTCCTTATAGACTAAGAAATACATCCCAGACTGCAAGGCCAGCGCGTCCGGCTCTGTGGGCTTTCAGCAGCTCCTCCTCTTACATTTATTCTCATCATTTTCCAGCTTCTTATGCTAACAACCTGTGTGATTCCACTCTCCAGAGCCTTACAAGGGCTGACCTGAGAACTTTAACATTTTTTCCCCAGGATTTAGAAATAGTTTTTATTTCCAATAAAAACTACTACAAAGTACACTCACAATGCAGAAATTAAAGCTACAGTGAAAATGTCACAGATTTTTAACATTGCTATTTTACAGTTAAAGGAACTGAGATCAAGAAAGTTTACTGCAGATTCCCCCAGGGACACACATTTAGTTAATACCCCATTTATTTGGACCCATATTCTGATTTTAATTAGAATTTAAGATTAATTTCCAATTAAATTTAATTAGATTTTAATATCACACCAAGAACATAAGTAGACAGCTATTTATCAGTTACTAACCAAGAATAGTTTATCACACTATAATCTGTTTACTCTGTTCAACAAACTGTTCTTAAATTCAGTTGAAAAATGAGTGTTTAAGGGAAAATGTTAAGGAGTGTTTGGTGGAAAGGTTAGAGAAATGAGATGTTTATTGTAGAGATTTGGATCTTGTGATTGAATAAATATCTTTAAAAATAAATCAGACCAGGGATCAAATTCCAGCCTGACAGTGGGATGTGCTTTGCTGCCTTATCCCCCAGTAAAATTGATGAAAATTACTTATTTAAAAAATCACTTAAAGACTCTGGAACTGGTCCTAAATACAAACAGAAAATGAATTCAAAAGAACCTAAAAAGGAAATGTGTTAAGAAAGGCAGGAGTCTGTGGTCTTGGAACCAGGATTGCTCCCTCCCCCTCACCTCTCATCTCAGTGAGTCAGAGACCCCATTTCATATGCTGTAGCTGGAACACAGGCTTCCCTCTCCTCCCAGATGCAATTTGGAGGCTTTCTTCCCAGAAAGAGCAGAATTTCAACTTCTTTGTTTATAATTCAAAACAGAAGAATGTAGCTAACTGGAGCTGTTTATGGATGGTCCTTTAAGAAATATGGACGATTCCCTTAACCGTTTAGTTAGGTGTTTGCTTGGCTGAGTGCAATTTGACCTTTCACAATGGAATTGACTGAAATTCCAAATGAGAGAAGAGAGAAACTCGTAACACATGTCGAATCTGATTCCTCTGAAAATGGGGACAATATTTTAAAAAATTGACCACTCATATCCCTCAATCCTAGATTGATATCACTTCACACAAACACTTGGATGCAAGTTTTCCGTTGTTTTTCTCTAATATGATGGTGTGAACCTGAATAGAAATTTCCCTGGACACTCATTTCCTCTCACAGTAAGAGGATGGATACGCCCAATGAATGTGGCTTTTTAACTTGTCTTATTTATCTTTTGTTGTTCTTTTTTGTCTCTTTTGTAACCAGTGGAAAACCAAAAGAGGAGTATTTTTCAAAAGGTTTGGCTCTTCCTCACCTGAACATTCCTTTCAGAGAGCAGGTCACTTAAGAGAACAGCAGGCAGACACCTAAAATCGGGTGATAATTGCTTTCAGCTTAGTGACTCAGCCTCAGGAAGTGCTCTTTGTGTGTGGATTTTAATTTTTGATTTTTCAAGCTGGCCTAAATGCTCAGAGGTGAGCATAAGAGATCTGACAGTATGTGGCATGTGTTTGAAGCCATCTGTTTGTGTGGAATAAAAGGTGCCTCCTCAGGTGTCACTGTCATCACTGTTGACAGGCAGGGAGGCATCTGCCCTTCCCAGGCATCTCCTGTCATTGCGTTTTCCATCAGAGCCTCCGTTCAGCAGATGATCCAACTAATGTCAGGACGGAGGGCTTGACAGTTGCCAACACAGGTGTGCTGCAGCCATTCTTCTTTCGTTTTTATTTTTCCTTCTATCTAAACACAGAGGAAGAGTGTGTTTTCAATCACAGGTAAAAGAATCTGCCAGACTATGTCTGATGTCTTTTGGAAAAATAAAGCTTGGGAAACAATAAAGGAAAGTACTTTATTTTGTAAGGCAAATACTTATTCACAGCTTTATTATATTTCTAAAATAATTATTGGCTAATAGTTTAATGATAAACATGTACTGAATACATGTTGTTCAGCAAAGGTATGCTGTACCGTGTATGTCTCGTAATACATCCATTGCATCACACACTGCGATATCACTATACCAAAAAAGTTGTGGCTTAGGGTTTATATGCCAGTTATCCAGCTAGACTGTAAATTCTTGAAGACAAGGAATGCCTTCCTCACCTCACATCTGCCATTAGTTGCTCAAAATAATCTATCAGTAAGTATTTGTTGAATGCATGGATATGTTCATGAACTAATTAAGCACCATGAAATATTATTAAGCTGGGTGATTTTGTGTGCACTCACCAGGATATGTATGTGATGCACAATGAATTCAGGATTTCAATAAATCTAATTTCTATCAGGTGATGATTCATTAGAAGTCATTTCTACTGTTATCCATCTTGGGTAATAAAATTTCAAGGTCTCATTGTGCAAGAAAATAAAGTTAACAAATTTTCTCCACGTGCCCCTGAAACTGTGTTACCAAGGCTACATAAAAAACTAAACCGCCCACTTGATGTCTCTTACACTTCTCCTTTGACTCCCTCCTGCCAAGTATTTGATGTGAGAGCTCCGTTTTGTCAACAAATGGTATCTGTTACCCTGAGCAGGAGTTAATGATATACTAACCAGATTAAGGCCATCTTCCCAGGGAGGGATGGGAATTTCACGGCAAGCATCTGAACTAGACACTTTAATATTGAGAAACACATTATCAGACTGAAGCTGGAACTTTCTTCTGATAACTCCTGCCAGGGGAAGGGCCAGCAAGGCTGCTCTGCAGGTGCAAAGTTGGAGGGAAAATAGCAATAGAGCATCGCTTCAAAATTCCCGTTTTAATGGCTGGATTCTGTCATTAATGGCTTTCATCGCGTGGAGAAGTAAATACAATGATCGCATCTCACACAAACGCCAAGGCAGCATCGGGCAGCAGAGTCATCATCCAAATGTATTTGCATCCACGCGACAGCAGAGCCTTAATGACTGTGAGGAGGAGCATGAATTCTAACATGCTTTCTGATTTGATGTCATTTAGTTTAGAAAATTTCTTGCTGTAATTAGGAACACTCTGCATTTTCTGAGCACATCACGTAGGAGACATTATCACCTGCTTTATTATGGTGAATCTTAACAGTGGATCCAGCTGCTTTATACTCCGTCCAATACACGACGAGGAAAAGGTTTAGAATCGACTATGTTGTGTCAGATAAGGGAGCTGGAAGTGTGAGATCAGAACCTCATCAGAACCATGTGGGAGCCACTGGATAGACAGTACTTTTGCTTCCTGGGTGAAATTTACCTGTTACGTGTGTGGCTTGCAGACCGAGGAGCCCAGCCTTAAGCAGGATGGGCAGAGGCTGAGCTTCCCTTCAAACCTCCCTCCTGGCCCCTCTGCTCTGATGATCATGAATTCAGACAGAACATGCTACTGAGAGCCCTCCAGTGGGCAAGCAATTTCTGTACTGAATTGAGTTTGGGCCTTGAAGATGTACAATATTTAGCTCAGATCTGAGACATTTTCAGTAGGAAAAACTGTTAAGTATTGAGACTAATATTCAAATCAGGTCACACAACCTGGTCCCCTTGAGAAGACCCCATCTTGAGATGAGCAGGGTGTGGCACTACACAGTAACGGGGTGGGGGGAGGCAGATGAGCGTGGGGCACACTTTTTGTCTGAGGTAGACTCTGCTGTGCACCAGCCCCCTGCTGTTGCCTCAGGAGCAGTAAAATAGCTATGCCCTTCGTCAGAGGCTTGAATCCTCAGTCTGGAGCAAGAGAGCTGCTTTTTAATGAAAAAATTTCTACAAAGTTATGAAATATATTGCATAAAACTATTATTTTAGTAATATACTTAATAAGATAATCGCTTGCCTGTGACTTGGAAAGAAGCAATTTTTCTGACAGTGTCTTCTACACTGACTCACCCTTTAAAAGATATTGGGGCCAAGGTTTAGGACCATCTCGCCCGTTTTCAGGGATTGGTTTATGGGAGCAGCCTTCTGAGAACTACTCTGCTGTGCGTGGAGTTTGAAGGAAACATTTAGACAGATCCCTCCTACCGAGCATATCTCTCTGCTTAACTAAGAGGCCACAGTGAGTACCAGAAATAATGAACTTAAAAAAAATGTTTTTTTCAGGGAGACAAATACAATAATGAGGTCTTACTTAATTATGTGGTAGGCAACCTGTCTGCCACACTCATAAAGTTATTTTCCTGTATTTTCACAGCCTCTTGCTAATGAGAATATTGTCTTTCTTAACCATTACAAACACTTTGCAGGCCCACGCTGTTCATTTAATACAATGTTCTAATAGATTAGAGAAATCTGCCATAAATGAGGTTCCGGAACGTCAAGAGGAAGTCGGGGACGAGGGCTCCTGGCCCAGCCCCGTGCTTTGTGCCAGCTGGCCCTGGGCGGGCTCTGTGTGCGCCTTGGAGCAGACTGCACGTGTCGGGAGAAAGCTTGTTCCCAGGATGGCCTTTTCGTCCACTAAAATTAAAAACAACCATCATTTTTGTTCCATCATTCCCAGATATCCTGAGCGTTTTTGACGGTGATTTCCTTGACGATGCAGTTCCTTTCGGTTAAATGTGCACTAAATTTATCACAAACTATAGGAAGATACTGCAGCCAATGACCTCAAGTGTCCTTGACTGAGAAGCTACTTCCATGCCTCCCCTATTAGGTTTTATAAATCAGAGAGGAGAAACTTAACCACCATCTTTTGCAGTTTAGCGTATTAGCTAATTTAGTATTCCTGAAGTGCTTAAATCAGCTCATCTGCTCATTGCCTTTTTCCACTGATGCTCATGACTCACCTTGAACCTCGGTGCACCTCCGTCAGGCCTCCAGCCAGCCTCCTGGAACATTAGTGATGGATGGACGAGGGTACCGTACGGATCTGCCTCACTTCCAACTGCACATTCTTCTCTGCTCATTTTTCATTCTTCTGTATTTTGCTATTTCCACCCACGGCTAGAGAAAGGTCAAGTCAGAAGCAAACAGGACTTGAAGGCAGGTATTCAAAACCTGAACACACTTTAAATGAACACGATGAGTTTGTTTTTCTATGTTGATTCACATTCTTAGGACAGTTTGTATGAAAATATACCCATTACATTTGAATTTCAGATGAGACATCATTGCAGGACCAGAGAGGAAACAATTTTAAATCTGGGTCAGTGGGGAGGTGAAAGGGGTTCAAATGAAAATTATTCTCTGATTGAAAATTAGATTAGGGTTTCGTCTGGAAAAACATTAGCATTTAGCATTGGGTATTAAGCTGATCAGACAAAATACAGGTTGTCAGATAAAATACAGACTGTCTAGTTAAATTTGAATTTTAGATAATTGTTTCGTATCAATATGTCACAAATATTGCATGGGACACACTTATACTTTCATCTGTTGTTCATTTGAAAATCATATTTATCTGGATATGCTGGTATTTTATTTGCTAACTCTGACAACCCTATTAACATACGAGATTTAGGCAGAAAAAGGAAAAGGTCGAAACTGAATTCAAGGACTTAAAATTTTTTTGTGGTTGCTCAATAAATATTTGGTGAATGAATTAACATATTTAAAATGTGCAAGAGATGCTCTGAACTTGAGAGGAAAGAGGAGGAGCATTTAAAGCTCTCAGGACTCAGGCTGGAGGAGAAATGGTTTCTGTCTCTTTAAAGGTTACTCAAACAGGCTTTACTCCCAGGGTTTCTAAAATTGGGACCACGCTCCTCTCCACGGAGAGAGTTGAAGAATCACCTTGTCGAGAAGCAATGGGTGATAAGCATAAAATAGAAAATATGTAACAGAAATAAGCCTGAAAGATGTGATGCCTCATGCTGAGCGGAGAAAATCACCGAGAGGAGTTTGCTAAAATGATTCAAGCTCCAGGAAGCAGATGAGACACGACTTCCTTTGGTAAAAGCCACTGACCTGTTAGACCTCTGGCCTCCACCTTGTCACTGAGACCCCCGGTGCTGAGCGGGTCAAGCAGATCCACAGGTGCACAGAGACGCGGGAGGGCACAGGCGTTGGGCTGCAAAATAACACCAAAAAAGCGAAGCTCACTCCTAGTGCATCAAGGCTGGACGACAGGGCAAAAAACGGCCAGGTGAGGAGTGGGACTGACCAGCCATCACACAGTCCCTGGAACATCTATTTAAAAAAAAAAAGTGCTGAATTCAAGATCCCATGTTATTCTGCTTCAGAGTTCAGGCCAGCAGTGTCCAGTCACCCTGGATGCTGATGGAGGATGTGGGCACGGCCAGCGGGTCTTGTGGGGCAGTTGTCTGATTCCACCTGTAACTCCAGGGGTTGCTCAGATCTGGCAGCTGGCTTCCCCCTGCCCTCGCCTAGACCTAAGAGGCATTACTGGCTTTTCCAAAAGTGACTGGTGCTCTTGCCACCCAAGGAGAGAGCCCACGAAGGAAAGTCATTTCTCTCTGGTTCCATGTCTACTCTTAACACAAGAGGATTTTGTCACTGTGGGTCCAGCAAGGAAGCCGTACTGAGCAAAATACTGCAAGGTAACAAATTCACATCCTTAGCAGAATCCTTTATCATTAAAAATTAAAAATACCAGGGGCCCCAATCAACAGTTAGGTACTGCTTGAAGAGGTAGATAGGGTTGAACATCCCCTAGTTTTAAAGTGTCGGTTTGAAGGGCTCTGGAGAAAGTGAGCTATTTCATTCAGTCCTGTGTTTGCTGCTACCCACTTAAGAAACATTAGCGTCAATAAATCATAGTAAAATCTCCAGCCATCTCCCTCTGAAAAGCTCTCTTCTGAGAACAGAAGTCCACCGAGAGATGATCACAGAGCGGTAGGTGAAGTGGACTTTATGGGCGAGCCCTTTGGGGATCAGGATTAATGAGAGAAGTGGTGATTCTAACAGTGATAATGGCAGGTAGCACTTACGGAGCGCTGATAATTGGAGTCTGTCAATCAAGACCTCAACTACGCCGCAGTGCAGTTACTTATCACTCCCGTTCACCTGAGAGAAAACGGGCTGATGGCAAGGAAGCGCTTCACCTGACGGCAGCTGGCCCCGTCCCCGAGTTTGCACCGTGACCTTTGTAACCAGGCTGATGGTGGCCACCATTCCCCTTCGTGCAAAAGATGAAAGAAATGCCAAAGAGACTCTTCAAAATGCTCATTGTCTGGGCCACACTGATGCTTAATTAGGAAATATTTTTCAAGATTTTTAAAGTCAATAACCAGTTCATGGAAAAAAAAAAGAAAGAAAACTTATTTTGACTTATAGCTCATTACATATGTAAGGATAGACTGGAATAAAAGCTAACTTTGTGGACACTGAGGCTGCTTTCTGCTTAAAAACAAAACAAAACAAAGCAAAGCAAAAGCCGTCAGAACAGCAGGGAATTGTGGGCAGGCTGCAGGCGAGTGGGGCCCGGAGAGAACGAAGCAGCTGAAGCGCACGGACTCGTGTGGGGACGCGGATGAGAAGGTCTGTCCTTAGAGACCTGAGCAGAAGTGCCACCTCCCCAACCCGGGGACCTCGAGGGTAAAACGCTTACATGGGAGCCTCCACACTTCCCAAATCGGCACGGACTCCAACGCAAAGTCCTCTTGTCCATTAAAAATTGAAGGCAAAGTGTTAGTCTGCAGACAGCTATGATTCTCACAGCGTCACACAGCCTTTACAAAGAGGACGCCCTGACAACCGCATCTCTGGGGTGCACGTGAGTCATCTGTTCTCCGCCGATGCCAAAACAAAACACGTGCTGAGCGAGCCAGGGGCTCTTTTTTCCCATCATTTGTCACCACGTCACAGCCCTGGGCTTGTCTGATTGAGGCACCAGGAGTGGCTGTCACCTCCACCACCAGGGTCTGTAACGTGTAACTCTTACAGTGGGTTGAGCTGTATGACGTAGCCAATTTGACTGTTTTTTAGGTGCAGAAATGGTAATTTCTGATGGTTCAACTCAATATTTTGATTCAGTTTGCCCCCTTTTTCCCCTTGCTAATTTTGAGACAGCAGACCGTGGTTACATAAGTCAGTAAGACAGTCTCCGTCACCTTCCAAGTGAATCCCTGACACTCCCTCCCAGCCTCCCACAGGCTCTTCAAGGACACACTGCCTCGCACACACTCCCTGTGCTCGCGTTTTAGGGAACATATTTTCAGTCATTCAAACCACTGTAACGTTTGAGGTCCCTGTACCCGCGGCAGGGACTGTCCATTCTGTAGAGCGTGGGCGGGCGCGGAGGCAGGGCGAGACCATGCGCCGCCCAGGGACGTGACTTAAATCTGAACCAGAGACGCACGCTGCCCCCATCAAGCCTTCTGCTGTGTCCCAGTTTAGCATCTGCTAAGGAAGGAGGCGCGCCGGCAGGTCCTGTTCCTGGAGAGTGAACGTGTGCGCCTGGGAGCTCTTCCTCTCAGAGCGTGGGCAGCAGCAGGAGTGAAGTGCAGGGCTGTGAGTGGGAGCCCGCATCCTGGGACCACATCATCCAATCAAGGTGTGGGGGGGCGGGGGCAGCGGGAGAGCCTGGTCCAGAAAACTGCACTTCACCGCAGGTCCGTTCGTCCGCATCACCCTATGGCCCTGCTAGGAACACCCCAGCGCTGCTTTCTCTTACCCACACGCCTCCTCTCAGCCAGATTTTTGCTGCAGTAAGTTTTGGAGAGAAGCCAGTCTGCGCATCTGTAGGCAAGGCTGCCTGGGTTAGCAGCACCAGAGGACGGTCTCAGGTCTGTGCACAGATAAGAGGAACCCAGCCAGACCTGCTAAACTGACACAGATACCCTAAGGGACCGCCATCGTTTGGATGAGCGTTTTAAGGTTACATGAGTGGAGAGACTTTAAAACATTAACAAGAGCTTGCCCTTGAGTATGTTCTGCTGTGGAAAACACGGGCTAACTTCAACCCGGTTCAGGCCCAACACCACAAGAACCCAGGAGCCTCTCCTAGCAGGACTCTGTAGTTTACTGGCAAGAACAGAAACCTTCCAGAAATGGAGCAGCCTTAATGTAGGACTAGAAACATGCCAAATTGGATTTTATTTAAAAAAAAAATTTGAACCTCCTTCAGCTCTCCGCTGTGCTCAGCAGCTCACTCTCTGCTCACGCTCATCTCCACAACCAACTTTTCTCAACAAATACGAGTCAGAGAATAAGCTTTCAGCTGCTCAGTGTTCCAAGTTGTGAAGTGGCTTATTACGTCGTGCTTGCCGCTTACCCAGGAGGGACACGGCGAAGACTCGCTAATACTTACAAATATCTGGAGTCTTGAATATGAGAAGTACTTCATGAGATACTGGCGACCCCTCTGGCCCACAGCCTGAGCTGCGAAGTCAGGCGGCTTCCCTCCTCTGTGTCCTAACGCAGCGTTACTTCTGAGGAGACATGTTTTCCCTGCAGTAACTACAAATGCCCATTACACTTACTGATCAAGTTTATTCAGCAACTTACTCTGGTGTATCCCAGGCACCTCGCCACAAAACAGCAGAACTTGAAAAGATCTGGGTAGAAAAATGAACGCAATTCTGTATCAGGCAGAGCAAGTCTCAAATCACTCTGGAAAGAGATTAATTCATCAGTCCTCTTCTAATGTATTTTTTGTTCCAGCAAGGAGCAAACACATCTTCATATGTATAAAAAGTGCCCTGAAGTGCCACTGTGTAGTAGAAAGGGTGTTATTTTGTGGACATTGGGAATAGAGGAAGTAAATTGGAAAGGAGGTAAAAGTTATTATGGTAGAATTTCCAAAATGGCATTACAGGCATGGATTCTGATGCCTTCTTAGACAGTAAGCACAGCAGTGTCCCCTAACAGGGCCAGCTCGGAGCGCACTGGGTCAGATCCGGGGAATGGGAGGACCTACGGCACAGAGGGGATGCACTGCGACCCTCTGAGGGGGGAGCACATGCCCCGAGGGTCTGTCTGTATTGCCCCCGCTTGAAGCCGCTGGTCGTCTCGGCTTACATGGTAGGTAGTAGAAAGTCTGGCCACAGATAACGGACAGGAGAGAACTCAGAAATCCAGCCCCTCTGCCTGCCGCCGCTCTCGAGGCCTGGGCCACGCTCTGCCCATTCTCTTCTCTTTCCACGAAACGCAGTAACGGAGATGATGATGGCAACCAGCCTGTGGAGGAAGGGCTCCCACGTGCTCACAGCCACCTTCCCAAAGACACCTCTCCATAGGACGTTCCTTGCGTAAAGGGGTTTGGAGACCCGGCTTTCGTCCACGTCTGCTTGATCCAAAGGCGTTCTCTGACTTAGCACAAGGCGCTGGGCTGCCTTCGTCCGAGTGGACTGGCGCAGTGCCCATGGTGTTGTGTGCCTGGTGGCGAGTGGTGCCCTGGGGTGCCCACTGCAGCCCTTCACAGCTGCCCGTCGGGGCGCACAGTGGACACACGGGCCCGAGAAACATGCCCCAGCACACCCACTTCTGTGCACTTAACCTCATGCTTCCCAAACGTACGCAGGGGTGAGTCCACATCTCTCCACAACACCTACGGTGACTTGTGAAACGCTGACGCTGCGTTGGCCAAAGGTATTTCCTCAGGTCATGTCAAGTCCACAGACTGTCAACACGACCTCTCACAGCTGATGTCAACCTGGAGCCCTGGGCTGAGGTCACGTTTAATGTGATGTGGTGTCCTACATGGGATCCTGGGGCATAAGAAGGACGTTCGACAAAACAGAAGGAAATCTGAGTGTGGGGTTTGGGCTTCCGTGAGTGATGGCGTATCAGTATCGGTCCCTTGACTGTGATAAACACGCCACACCAAGGCAAGGTGTTGTTAATAACTGGGCGTGTGTACCAGGAATCCTCCGTATTGTATTTGCCATTTTCCTGTAACTCACAACTATTTTAATTCAAATACATGTCATTTGTGTATTTAAATAACCCAGTATAATCACAAAGCAGAGGAAAATCCCCAATGGTCCGTCTGTTCATGCGTCGCCTTTCTCAAGGTCCTGACAGTCACCGCTCTGTTTCCAGTCTCCACAGTGTCGGTTTTTATGAGATGTCACATAGCTGGACACTCACAGCATGTAGCCTCCTCTGACTTGCTTCTTTCACTTAAAATGTGGCATTACGATTCCTCCACTTTGTTGCATGGATTGACAGTGTGTCCTTCTTTGTGCTCAGTGACTTCCCACCGCATCGGTTTTGCCTGTTCCCTTATTTAGTGGAGGGCGTCTTGGCTGCTGTGAATATTTGCCTGGAGATTTTTGTGTGGACCTTTGCTCACCCGTCAGCTGGATAAACACCCAGGAGCATCGCTGCTGGATCTTAAGGTCACACTATGTTTACCTGTGTAAGGACCGACTGCCCGTGGGGCTGGGCAGGCCCCCGCCAGTGGATGGAAGCTCCTGTTGCTGCCCGTGCTCTCCGGCAACTGATATTCCCAGCTGTTTTGATTTTAGCCATTCTAATAGGAGTGTAGTGTATTTCACAG